TTGCACTTGAATTTGTTCCAGTTTGCATGGTTCAACTGAGACATAAAATGCATGGGTGAGAAAAAAAGACTGTAGTGTTTTGTTCAGAACCTGAGCAAAGAAGACATCCAAACTACAGTTCCTATTTCAATGCAGTTTATATGTTTTATATGAAGTGGACAATAGAAAATCTTACTGCTTGGTGAGAGATGTAGATTCAGATCTCATCACTTTGAAGAGAGAAAGAAATTAATATCTCCCACATCCTCATTGAGTGATAGCTGGGAAATGTGAACAGTACTGTTGTTGCTTGTTTGGATCCATCCATTTTTTTGAGAGAAGACTGATGCAAACATCTCACTCCAGGAGAAATTTCCGTTGTAATACATGGTTGTAGCTGGTGTCCTTGCAACCCTCAGCAAAGTGTCAAAAGCTGCAGCTTTCTCAGGAACGAAGGCGTTTCCTGTTGTCTAGCTTGCTTGATGCTCAGTGTCCTAGTTTTCTGGATTTCATTCTAAAATGCCTAATTGCAAGCCAGCTAGGTATGGGACATCTCAGCTGCGGCTGTGGAAACTCCTGGGCAGGCAGGTGCCTCTACTTACATTTCTACAACCAGAGGTAGAGGAGGTGTGGATGGTGGGTGCTATAGGCTCCCTCTGTAGATTTGCATTCTGTATTAACTGCCTCTAGATTCTTGTTGCTTTCCTGTGTCTTTTGTCATTTCTTGTGATTGAGAAAAACAACCACAGTCTCTTCTTACACCCAGTTTCTAAAGAAACTCTTTTAACTGGTTTTCAGCTGAACTGTGAGTTTCTTAAGCCTGACTAGTAACAGGAACAAGATATCAGAAATTCAGGGTACAAAGTCATACCCTGTCTTTCATAATATGAGGTATTCAGTCATTCGAGATACAGAAAACTCTATTGTACCCTATAGTTTGTGGAGATTTTTCCCCTTAGGATAGTATTGCATTATTATAATTTGGGCAGAACAGCAATACCTGTAAAGAATTTTTTTTTAGTTTTGATAATTGATTTAGGAAGTCTCATTTTTGGGGAGATCAAAATTTAAGGTATGGGCAAATGCTCGATTTAAAAAAAAATATCTGAACACAGGTTTGGCAAATGCAGTTCCTTGAATATGGCTTGAATTGGGCATTCAGAAAAATGGCACAAAAACTGAGAAAAAAAATCAAGAGCTTTCTATCATAATGTTTAAACTATTTCATCAAGCTTACTGCATTGTTTTAAGAAGTCATTGAAAGTCTTGCAGAGATTATAGAATAAGAGAGCTTGATGCCTTGTCTGGGCAAAACAGTTATAAACCATAAGAACAAGTCCACTGATTCCAGTAAATCGATGTTAAGTAATTAGATGAACATGTAAAACTGGATACAAAACATATATAACTTCTTGAGGCATTTTAGAAGTGTATTACAGCAACAGTTTTAATCTTAGAGTAAGCATGCAAATATGTTTTTTACAAATCGCTTCGTCAGTTAAAAGGAAAATTAAATCAGAGTAGGAAAGTGATTTTTTTAAAAGGCATCAAGCAACTGAAAGAGAGAGCACTTGAATTGAAGATGATCTGATTATCATCCTCAAGGACACACCTACAGTCTTGCCTACTCTCAGATGACTCCTGCTTCTTAATCATCTGTCTCTTGTTATTGCAAGGAGTTTTTTTTTCACAAAAAAATACAAGGGAGTTGATAACATTTTCATCTCCTTATTGACATAGTTTTCTGCAGGAGTGATAATGGGGAAGCTCATTGTGGGTATTGCCCTCAGCCCACTATATCCCAGCACTTTGGAAGTGCTCTTGGAGTGTCATAGAAATCTAGAAAGTCACAGAGTATTGGTTATTGTGCCACAACAGAGAGGTCACTGACATACTGACCTCCTGGTCAAAGTATCATTGCTACTTTTTCCTTGACAGTTTTGGCAGCAGGAGACAAGCTTGCTTTTGCTTTTGCAGAAAGCTGCATAGAAACCAGGCAGCAATGCTACTGCTAAGGACTGATTTCTCAAAAGTACTGGGATGCCTAATTTATTCTGAGGACTTAGGCCAAAATTAGCATCTTTCCCAACTATTGTTTTGCTGCAGGTGCTTAAAGAAACAAGGAAAAAAGAGCAATAACTATGAGGCAGAACCCAGGAATTTAATTCTATTAGAACTAGCCAGTTCTCACTCTTCCTTCTGTCAGATTATGAATTGGAGTATAGCAAGTAAGAACAAAGAAAGAATGACGTATGATCCTACTATTCTTGAAGACTGCAAAAGTTATTACTTCATATATAATTAAAAGACAAATGGCAATGGCAAGGAGTTGGCATGTGATGCGACCTAAAAATAGGAGATTAGCATAAACACATGTTGAGTCTAAAAAGTAGTCTGTCTTGTGATTAGTGCGACCATTTCAAAATATTTCCTGTTGTGATTGTATAACCTTTAAAAAGAAAGGATATGCTTTAGCTGTTGAACAGCTAGGTGTCTTCTCTTTCTTCTAATCTTGGTAAAAAAAAAGATAGATTTCTTTTAAATTAAAAAAACAGGTAAACAAAACTAAATAGCGAGTCTCATTTTATTTCGTACGGTAATTTATAACATGATGTAACAGAAAGCTCTAAAAACTAGCAGTCTATGCAGTACAGACACAAGTAACTTTTAAGTGTAGTTTATAGTACATCTCAGAGGTAAGATCTACAGAGATGGTGTGGGAGTGGTGGGAGGTTTGAACTGAGGAAACCGCTTTTGAAATTTGTTTTTTTGTGTGTGTGTGTAATTTTTTTAAAGAGTTTCAGAGAACTGAAAGAGGAACCTGCACTGAGCAGCTAGTCCTAACTTGTACAAAACTTTCCCCATATCATGTGATGAAATATCTTTTATCAGTGCACACTTATCTTTGGTATCAGAGAAGTTAGAGGACTCTGGCTTTGCTCACCTGCATGGCTGGATGGATGGTGCTAGAAGGGGTTGTGAGAATTTATTTTGCCCTTCCAGGATTTTTTATGAAATTGTAATGCATAACCTTTTCTAAATCTTAATCCTCAAGAAAACAGATTTATGTTAAAGCTTAAAACTCTGCTTTCCTTTTCTTCCTCTCTTCCTCTTTGTATATATGTATGATGATGTGGCAGAGCAAGAGACAGAGAAACACATACAGAAAAAGACAGCATACTAAAGCTGCTCTCCTAGAATTTACATTGCCTTTATGTTTTTATAAAATACTTGCTGAGAATTTAAAATAAAAATGACTTGGACCTCTTTCCTTCAGTTCCCTACATGAGTTTCAAAACACTGTATTTTTCCATCATTTAGTTGCCAAACCACATTAAACCCTCTGTGGGCTGTAATGCTAAGTGACTATCACAGGCACTGGTGACTCCATCTTGTACACCCGGCTGGGCCTCTCCACCTCCAGGCCGATGCTGCACAGGGTAGCCACCATGCACACCTGCAGAAACCATACCCTGGCCTCAGGTGATTTCAGCAGAGACTGGGGAGACCACAGGCTTGGCAGGTCTGTGGGAAAATCCTGAGATGGTCTCTAAGCCTCTGAACTTCCTGTGAGCAAGCACGAGCCATGGTCCCAAAACAATACTGGGAACTAAGCAGTAGCAACAATTAAATGACCTCTACTATTCTCAGAAAGAGAAGCGAGAAAGTAGTTGGTGCTGATCTGCCTTCATAGTGGGCACAAGGACCGGGTGTGTTTTCAAAAACACTGTCCCATCTCTACTCCCACGTAGCTGAGGGCATCCTTGGGGTTTCAGAAGAGAAGATGTCTTCTGTGGGGGCTGCAATCACATTTCAGCCACTGCCAAAGCACCAGGTGCCTGCCAGTGAAGAAGCTCCCAGCAGCAATTCTCCTTCAAGATCTATGGCACTACAAAATAGTGAAAAAGGGAACCAAAACCTTTCGATGGGGAAGCCCTCACAAAAGCCTAGGTTTGAAGGTTGCCGTTTTCTACCAAGTCTCATTTCTCTTCAAATATCTCCACATATTGTGCACTTCTTTGGGGCTAGCAAGTTGTATGTTTATGTTGTATCAATGCTAATACATCAGTTAGCTCCAGGGAAAGTTTTTGGTCACTGGAACATACTTCTCTGCATCATTAGCTCACAAGAAGGCTCCTTGGTGCAGGTTTTGTTTGTGCTAGCTGACTTCTCCCAAGCACAGTTCAGCAGCCAGGACCATGGGGAGTAGCCAGGCTGCACGCCATCACCCTGATGAAGAAGCCTGAAAGCGTGGGTAGAGGCTGTTCCTGGCCAGCTGACCTCCACAGCAGAGAATGGCCTCAAGTCCGTGTAGTTTATTAGCACCAAGCAACACTCAGAGTACCAGCTAAGGGCCCTCTCTACCTTCAGTCAGATCAGCTGCTTTCCTGAGGTTAGGAAAAGGCATTTTAAAGAAAGGATTATTCAGTGATACTAGAATTTCCTTTGGTATTTCTTCAAGACCTAATTCTGTACCTATGTAACAGAGGGCCAGGCTCACCAGTAGATTTCCTTCTCTGCTGGGCTTTGCCATTATCTAGTGCTGCTTGTGCCAATGGTCCAAAGCAATGACTGGGACAACCTATCTTCTAGCCCAACACTTTAAGGACCCAGAGAAAAAAAGCAAAAAGACAGCTCTGTTTCCTTGGACATATACACTAAACAGAGTTAGAGTCAAACTTCACATACAAACATTGAATGTTATTTTTTTATTTGAGCAGCTGAAGTTGTAGAAATGTATTTCTGGTAGGCTACAGGCCAGAGCTCTTGGGTGTCCCGATGGGGGAGCAGGATGCCTCAGGTCTATGGTCCTGCTGCTGCGAAGACTCAGGATGACAAAGGCCTGAGTCAAGATCTGCTTCTCCTCCCCTTGTGAAGAGCTCCCACCTGATCTTTTGTGAGTGGCTTCCACAAGGAGTCACACTGTGGTGACTGAACACATGCATCACACCTCGGTGCATCTGTCCAGTTCATTTAGGGGTAGTTGAAGGCATTTGTTATTTCCATATCATTTGCTCTCACAGCTTTTTTTCTAACTCAGTGATATCACTGTGCCATTTACCATCCTCATTTATGTGATTGATGATACAGTCCTGCAGTTACAGCCTTCAGTCCATGGAAATTCTGTCTCATTTGTTGATGCTGCTGAATTGTTTACTGGATGTGACACAAAGCTTCCTGTACTAGCACTGACCCTTCAGTGACACAACCTATTTTGGCAGGGCTATATCAGCGTCCTGGTCATGCCATGTCCAACTGCCTTTCATCAAACTTCTCAGATGCCTAAATTGAGTCACATTCCCAGCTGAAAACCAGGGCAATAAGCCTCAGTATTTTTACACTTTTTACATACCTACAGAGACACAAATATCTGAGGTTTTTTTCTGGTTGGCTGTTTTACATGATCTGCTTCATACACTTCACACACAGAAACTGTTTGTCTGGTTCCTTCCTGGATTTTATTAATACCCTTTCCTGTCCTTTTTTCTAAGAATACAGAGAATTTAATAACATTCTCACCCTCAGATATATGTCATCCTGAACTATACTTTTTTCTGTGCCACTTGGCTTTCTCTAATCTTTAGTTTAAAAACTATAAACCTAACTTTCAGTAGCAGAAGCCTTGCCCTGTTTTGGTTTGGGTTGAACCATATTTTCCTGAATAGGTACCGTCTAGGCACCAAATATTTCCTTTTTTCTATGTTTATATAATTTTCTTATGCATCTATTTTCAGTTACTTGCTGAAGCAAGATTTCAGAGCCTCTCTAGGGCTCCTAGCAACCCAAATTTTGCCTCCACGGACTGTCTCTTACTGTTCTGTTGTTATTAGAATCTTACTGGAGCATAATTGCACCAGTCTTCAAAACTACCTTAGAGTTTGTCCTTATGTATCCCATGAGTTTCACAGTCTTCATCTCCAATAGGCAAAGCTGATTTACCTATAAAGCCCATAATCAGTTCCCCAGAAGCTAGAATTTCTCTCTTTTTAAACAGGCAATATTTTAATCTGTGCCACTGAAAGACCTCTGATCTGCAGGAGCTTTTTTTCGGGCTTGATGTTCCTGTCATTGAATGTCCATTCTCCTCAGAAAGGCAGTGACTGCTTGTCCATGGTGGGATTGCTCTTTTATGCTGTGCTTGTAAGTTTCTTCAACGTATTTCTTTTCTGCTGGATTACTTCATTAATTTTATTGTGTCAATAAGTTTGAGAGGAGCAGGAGGAGTTTATTTTCCTTTTCCTTTTAAACTACTCAGGTGAAGGAAGGAGTGTTTATTTCATCATTTTCAAGCGCCAGAGAGTAAGAATGCTGCATTTTCTCTTCCTGCACCTGAATTCTCACTACAGTCAAGTTCATCTCTCTCCTGTAGACGCATTTCGAGAGCTCATGTCACCAAAGGGCCTCTTTCTCACTCCGACAAAGCCATGTATTTCACTTGAGGTTAGACTCGAGCCTCAGCTAAACCTCAGATAAACCTCAATAGTTTGATCCATGTCAGGAGTTGATTAATTAAGGCCAATGAATTAGCTGCCACAGTGTGTGGCTCCTCATTGAAGACTGAGTCACATCAGACCTTATGTACATAGCTGTGTTTGGAATCACCTTGAGCTTGCATTTAAAATACATGGATTTGTTTTATGATAAAACTTTGAAAATTACCTGTTTTCCAGTCCAGGGGTTAAGCAAAGAAATAATTTTTTAAATAGAATTATAGAATCATAGAATCATTTAGATTGGAAAGGACATTTAAGGTTACAAAATCCAATGATGAACCTAACACTGCCATGTCCACCACTAAACCATGTCCCTACGTGTCACAACTACACTTCTTTAAAACACTTCCAGGGATGGTGATTCCACCACTTCCCTGGGCAGCTTGTTCCAGTGCTTGTCAACCTTCTCAGTGAAAAGTTTTTCCTAATTCCCAATCTAAACTTCATAATCAATGTAGTTCTGTGTATTTTTCCTTGTCACAGACTTAGCATACTTGTCTAAGTGGTTGAATTTTAGGTGTCACCTTAAAAGGAAATTATCTTTAAGTCTCTCTGAGCTCTGGAGCCCACATTTTTCTCTAGATTTTTTTTGGACCTAGTGAAAGTCCAACTTTAATTTTAATCTGAGTACTCTTTACATTAGGACTTGAATACTGTAGGATTGCTTTCCTTTTATTTGAAGGTTTTACCTACTAAGGCTTAATATTCACAGCTGAAATTTCACTTGTAGTAATGAAAAAAGTTTAGAAACAAAAGGCTATACATTTTAGCTATACTATGAAACAAAACATAATATAATGCATTGTTATATATGATCATACAGTATAATACAATATAAGACATATAATTCTAGCATTTGGAGTGTTGATTATGGGGTTTATAGTTACTTCATTTTTGGGTATCTGTGAAAAAAAATTATAGCATCTCTATATATCTCATATATATTATATTTAATATATAATAACATGTCAGTGTATTATCATGATAACATCTCATATATAACATGCATTTTACAAATTGGATAAATAAGAATACCTATTTGTCCTTATGAAGGCTTCCCACCACTCCTTAGCTTTGCTGGTGTACTCTGTCTTGAGGCATTGCTTTCACCTCACAGTAGCCTGTGCTGCTTGCATGTGGTCACTATTTAAGATTGCTAAGCTGTGTTTATTTATCTTAAGCATGTGGGCAAGCAGACAAGT